AATTCCACGATCATTTGATATTTGGATGATTTGCAACATGTCAATCTTCCATCAATTGCAAGTTGCTGCTGCTTTTAGATTTTTCTTGTGGAGAAGCAGTTCTTGCTTGATCTCTTGAAATGATTTAGTAGGGATTTTGCTTCTAGGTAAGTCTATAATCCTTGAACATTTTAGTTTGATGTGCAAGTCAAAGATATTTAATAGGTTGGCTGGCTGAATTAATAATCATTTTTCATCTACATTGTTCATTGCATACTGTTTTCAAATTTCGTCATTCCTATCTTTTTTATTGTCGGACACCTGCAGCTGAAGGAAATAAAATTCATTATTGGTAGACTAGAACCATGATGGTACTACACAATATAAAGTTGCAGAATATAGATCGCTTTATGTCCTGGAGCTGCAATCGTCCCTGGTCTGGCAATGGCGGCGACGCTGCCCTGCTGGGCGAGGCCTAGTGTCGTTGTGTGTCTGTAGTTGAGGGCACCTCCTCACCTAGTTGTAGTCGCTTGGTGAGGACGGTCGTGTATGTGTGCGCGCGCGTGTGTGTGTTCCTCCTTTCTGGAGGTTGTACCCCTGATGTCTTCCTGTTCAATGAAATGAAACGCAAATTCTCTTGCGTTTTTTTTAAAAGATCGCTTTCTGTTGTGTATGCACTCGACTGTAGTTGCAAGCCAGGACATTTACTGATTTATAACTGCAGTTTGTCAATAAAATTATACGTAATGTTCATTTGTTTGGGCACGAAAAGATATCCTCCTTTTCTTGTGTTGTATGGTGAACATTTGCAACTAGCCAAATGGTGCAGCCATGATCTTGACTTGTTTTTAAAGAATATTATAATCACCACTGGTGTCAGGACCGGAACCCAGGCGATACTGAAGCTACATTGAAGACAGGAGACAGGCACAAGGTTCAGTTAACAAACGGTTGAGATGATAAGGGAAAGTTCAACGGCTCAGATCCCTTCACCGTTTCACTCAAGTTATTACTGTGCACTGTCCGTTGTAATAGTAGTTTTTCTACCGCGCTGAGCTGGAAAGCAAGTATATTAGCCCCTCCCGTCGATGGAGGAAGGCATGTTGTAATTTTCCCCAATTCTAGTCTAGAGTAGAACCCTCGTTATTGTACTCTCTCAAGAGGGGTATCTTACCTCCTGATCTATCAAATTACCCACAAATTACTCTATTTCTTCCTCTGAGATTGACTGATTTGAGTAAATCATGCTATTCTGGTCAATTTGATCCTCACAAAGGTATCAGTAGCCAGTCGATTTCTCGGTGATGGTGACGTGGTGGCGAATCGAGCAATGGAGAACGAGGGGTTGGGCTCTCTTGTAAAATCCCTCCCGTC